GTACCTAAAATGGCGCTGTGTGTGGCTACATTATCTTAAGTCACTCTGTCAAGATAGTGGAACATCTACAGTTCCACAGGCTCCTTATTATGTGCTGCTCCTGTAGCTGAATAACATTCTATGCATGTGCACTAATCTCACCTATGGATATAGACAGGGAGGGACTGATCAAATATTGTATTCAAAGGCAGTTATTCATTAGAGAAGACTTCCCTATCCAACAGCAAGTTGGTGTCACTGACATCACTTTTATGCAGCTGTTGTTGCTGCTTCTCCATCAATACCCCCACTCACTGCTCCCTTCCTATTCCCCTCACCACCCACTTGCTGCTCCTCTCATCACCCACTCCCTGCATTGCTCCCCTTGCCACTCCCCTCATCACCCATTCCCCACTCACTTCAGCATTCCTCTCAACAAACCACTCCCTGGTCCCCTCACCATTCCTCTCTCACAGCCCCCCTCCCCACTCACCTCTTCACCCGCTCGCAGCTCCCCTCTCTGCTCAGTTTGCCTCATTGCTCAGCAAGTGAGGCAGCCAGATCTATTTTTTGGAAGCTCCTCTGGGTCAATGGTTTTACAACTTTGTGCAGGGGCACCAGGCTGCTACACTGAAGAAACTATGAATTGGTTTAATCTGAAATTGTCATGAATGATAGTCACTTGCATCTAAATACCAAAACCTGGTGATACAAGCATCGTACAATTATGTCAGCCATTACACATGTATCAGTTGAGCTGAGTGATGTCACATACTGATAGACCCTACTTCATTAGCAATCTATAGGGGTCTGGACTGATGTTCCAGGGAAATGTGGGCGCATTTTACTGTCCCCTATTTTACCTTTGAAGGCAGACAACATGTAACACATGGCAGGTGGCTAATTCACTGCCATCCCAGCCAGCCCACTCTGTTCCTCCATGTCACAGGCAGTAGCTACGGTATCAGATAGCCCGCCCACCAACTCCCAATTACTGGAAGCTTAAGGGTCATCAACCTCCATAATACCTACAGCTGAGGAAGGTGTGGTGCAGTGGGAGTACAGCAAACTTTTTATTGACTGGCACCTACGGAAACCGGAGTGGGCTGATTGATCAAATATTCCAGTTGATCAAGAGGTCCACATAATCAATAGAAAAATACACACTACATAATAGAAACGTAACGCGGGGGCTGGGGCGGGGGGGTATAAACATCACTATTACACTTTATTTACAGCAGTTTAGCCAGTGAGGTTGGCATCCACTTGACAGTTTCTCCGTTTGATTTGAAGTGGCATACCCTGACTTGTTCAGACTCATCACAGAAATCTTGAGGTTACTTTCACAGACAGAGGTCATTCAGCCCAACATGTCCTTGATGCTACAATTAGAAATGAATTGTGCTCTCCCAAACACACTTTGTGTCTCGGATCTTCATCTGCTCCAGATAAGTACCTACTTTTCTCTTCGACCTGTAATGGTACCTAACCTATCTAGGATCAGTGATAATGATAATTCCCTAACAACTCTGCATTAATGACTTTCTCCCTTTGTCTCACTTTAAGTAGCATTTTTTAACTGATGCCTCATCACTGACTCCCAATTGTAGGGAATAGAGTTTTTCCGGTTTGCTCTATCAAACCCTTTCATAATTTGGAAAAACCTTAAAACAAATATTCTCAGCATTCTCTGATGACACTAGATTCAGTAAGTTGTCTTTCCTCATAATTATAAGTTTGCATTATTGTGGTCAAACTATATTGTATGCTGTCTAAAGCTTTAATCCCCTTTCTACAAAGGGACCTAAAATTATATGCTGTACACTTAACTGTCATCTATCCAATGTTTTATACAAATGTATTGATGCTTATTTACTCTTATACTTCTCACAATAATGATAAGATATGGACTATTGATTTTTGATTGATTTCAAGATTTGGGACATTCTTAGAATCTTAGAATGCAACAGTGCAGAAAGAGGTTGTTTTGCCGATGCAGTCTCCCCTGACCCTCTGCAGGGTATCCCACCCAAAACCCAACCCATTATCCTATCCCTGTAGCCCCACATTTCCCATGGCCAATCCACCTAGCCCGTACATCTTTGGACCGTGGGAGGAAACAGAGCACCTGGTAGAAACACACACACAGACATGGGGAGAACATGCAAACTCCACAAGGACAGTCACCCAAGGCTGGAATCAAACCGAGCTCTCTGGCAGCAGGACTAACCACGAGCTATTTTTTTGAAATGGTTTCAAAAAGGAAAAAGCACTGACTTAAAATGGCCACAGCAATAAGCTGACCACACATGTTAGCCAAGCTTCATGAACCCAATGTGGAGTAAACACAATTATCTGAACTGAAATTAACATTTTTCTCAAACAACACTGAAACTAGTCCATGCAGTCAGGCCTGAAGAATCCCTGCTATTCTGATAACATCTGCGTGATAAGCTTTATATATTTTAGATGAAAGACATCACTTGCAATTGTCAAGCTTGGAAACAATGAACACGGTCATGGAAACCCACAAACCAGCTTATATTTTAGGAAACTATTTATACTTTTTAAACTCTTTGTACTTATGTGTATCTTCCTTAATATTGCATCATTGGTAACCTTAACATTGGTAACTACATTTTTATTAGAGAGAGGCACAGCCTCGTGTTAGAAATAACATATCTTTGTTGTGGTTAATTGAGGAAGCTGCCAAGGGAATGCCTCTCACCTTGTTGTACTATACTCCCAGTCCCTGATAATACAACTGCACATACTTCCCAGCTTTGACGCAGGGCAATGATGCGAGAAATCAGTATATAGATAGGGCTTACCTAAATAGATCCATTTATCTACCAGAATAAATAACAGAAGGATGGTTTTCTAGAGCTCAAAGTTTTTCTTTTATGATTAGAACCAAGAGCAATCCTTTTACCTGGTTTACCTATAAGAACCACAGAATGGTTATAACATAGAGGAGGCCACTCAGCCCATCAAGTCCCTGCCATGTCCCTGCATGAACAATTCACTTCGTCCTATCCTTAGACTCTTCAAGTGGATAAGGTGGTAAAGAAGGTGTATGGCATGCTTCATTAGTCGGTGCATTGAGTATAAAAGTTGGCAAGTCATGTTGCATTTGTATAAAACTTTAGTTAGGCCGCATCTGAAGTACTGTGTGCAGTTTTGGTCACCACACAATAGGAAAGATGTGGGTGCTTTGGAGAGGGTGCAAAAGAAGTTTACCAAGATGTTTTCTGGACTGGAGTGTATTAGCTAAAAGGAGAAGTTCAACAAATTTTGTTAGAGTTTTGGAGGCTGAGGGGCAACCTGATAGAAGTATACAAAATTACGAGAGGCAGGTGGATAGTAGGAGTCTTTTTCACAGGATGGAAATGTTAAATTAGTTGAGGGCATAGATTTTAAAGTGAGGGAGGAAAGTGTAAAGGAGATGTGCGAGACAAATTTTTATGCAGAGGGTTGGAGGTGCCTGCAACACGCAGCCAGGCGAGGGGGTAGAAGTAGATATGGTAGCATTTAGACACATACATGAACAGGCAGGAAATACAGTGATTTGGACCCAAAAGAGAACTTGCTGGGAAAACACAGAAGATGGCAGCATCTGTGGAGAGAAATCAGAGTCAGAACTGGTGACCCTTATTTAAAACCTGTTTTATCTGGTTTAACAGAGCAGCGTTGAGCTGATCCCCAAGAGACTGGGGACCTGGGGACCACAAGCCAGTTAAAACTGGTGATGTCAGTAAATACCTAAGGTATATATGGCATAGCTGCAACCAGTCAGTGTACTCTAACCAATTCAATTTACAACAGGATTGGCCAGCGATCATGCATTTGGTGCACAAACAAAGCATGCAGGGTGGCAACTGGACAGCTGCCAAAACAGACCTGTTGGTTATTGGGTCTCTCTGATCAATGTTATCGGTTACGATAATAAAGAAATGTAACCCCTTTGAAATAGAATCTGGGAGATTGTGCCTCAGGCTGACTGAAAAGCATACTCCCTTGCATGTGGCTTAAAGAAACTGGTGAGATTACAAGAGAGTCTCGAGAAGTCTGTAAGAGGATTGGAGCGGGTGAGAAGGGCACTACCTGTGAGATCTTTCATGTACGCCCAGTCAGCCTGCACCACCCTTCAAAGTGGCTGCTGGGTGGGGGCATTCAGACTGTCACACATCTCCTTCTGGAACGTGCCTTTGCAATGGAGGTCTGGCGGAAGGTGCAATAGTTTTTGTTGTGGCTTGTCCTGAGCAGCTCCATGATGTGGGACTCTGTGCTCTATGGTCTTTTCCCTGTAACACACACTGAGACCAACATCAACTGCACCTGGAAGACCGTCAACTTGATGGAAGATGCTCTTTGGTCTCCCCGAACCCCGTTGGTTTTCCAGAACAAGGAGCAGACCCCGACTGAGTGTTGCAGACTGGCACATTCCAAGGTCCAGGACTACGTGCTGAGGGACGCAGTAAAGCTTGGTGCAGCTGCCGCCAAGGCACATGGGGAAAGACCACTGTCTGAGGTCTTCCTGCTGAAGTTAAATGGGTGTCCGTTCAGTTATCAGACCCTCCCAGTGTATCAAATATGTGTAAATATTAGTATCGTATGTGTAAGAGAGGTCTTTGTTTTTGTGTATAGTCAAACTCCAATGTTTTGTGTTTACTTGATATGCAACTGTGTCAATGTACATATACAAAGATTTTTTTATGAATAAAGTATATTTTTGAGATAAAAATTGTGTGTGCAAACTCTGGTAAATCTCCCACTTTAAATGCTCTCAGGTAGTGTATTGCAGATCAAAGCTACTCACTGCATAAATGTTTTCCTCATATCACTGTTGCTTCTTTGGCTGTCTGCCTTAAAGTGACATTCTCTGATTCTCGATTGTGCTACCAATGAGAACAGTTTTTCTTCATCTATCATGATGTTGAATACCTCCATCAAATCTCTAATCTTCACTTTTCCAAGGAGAACTGTTCCAGGGATACGGTAACAAGTCAGAAAAACAACAGTTTGAACACAATAGTAACCAGCATTTAATGTGTCATTAATAATCATAAAAAATTGCAACACCAATCACAAATGTTCTTATTGTAAAAATTGCAAACTAAAATATTGTAAGTACATCAGAGCCAAAAGTAAAACAAGGTTAGAATTACAAGGTTAAGATGTTTCTTTAAAACCAGTATAAATGTTCAAGACTCCATTTAATAGGTCTAACCCAGTACATTTACCTTTCCTCAAGTCCTTCTTTAGGTTAATTATAGATCTTCATGTTCCTGACATCCAAATTTCCTTTTTTACAAAAATACAGTGATTCAATAATTTGATGATACTCAAAGATTGAGTTATATAAGCAAAAATTCATAACAAATTTTCTATTACGTAAGATTTTAACTGTGTAATGAGTAAAAATAGAATGAATGGTAAATGTATATAACTATCAGGCACTGATGTAAGTGAAGTTAAATGCAGCTAATTTATTTTGTCATCTCGACTGAAAAGAACAGACAGGCAGAGGAAAAGTACTTTATCCAAGCAGGGTTTAGATGTTTTTCCATTGAAAAAAAAAGAAACCATTCATTAGATTATTAAAAAGGTGAAGTCCTCAAGCTTTCAATTCCACATTTTTTCATTCATTTATCTAATTCACAATCTAATGATCATTAAAGTTCACCAGATTCCGCAAAGTCAGTGTTCAACTTCTAGAATGTCCCATTTTAAGCTGTTACACACCTTGATAATATACATAAAATACATATTTAGTTCAGAATAACATTGAAGTCCCGATACTGCAGCTTATGCTCATGTCTGACAGGGTTCCATGCTGGAGATGGTGTCTCACAAGTTGCTATTAAATATGTGACCCCTGATCAACACTGCCTTACCTATTGAGTGCAGTCCAGAGGGGAGGTTTAACCAGCATGAATTGTTTATTGGAAATTAAGGAGTCCTTCTGGTCAGGAAACTGTGTACAACATGAATCCATGTTTCAAATGCACAGTTCAAGTTGGCAAAGGTCTCTATAGGAAATGCAAAGTTAGAAAATGACCAATGTCACGTGTCTTACTCACAGTCTTAGTGGCCAGCTTTATCACATTCTGTCTTTGGTTGGAACATTACTCAAGTTTGGCTCTTGCCCTCCTTCTACTTTATGATCTAATTAACATGTCAGTTCAGTGTCAGTAACTGTGCAATTGCTAATGCAGAGCAGGTAGCACAAGTCGTTCACTTTTAAAATGTTAGTACAATATTGCCCAAAGTCACAATTACATCCACGGCTACTTTCAATAAGCATGGTTATATTATGCGAGGCTGAGATTACAAAAGCCTTTCAATTATAGAAGAAAAGAAAACCTCTACTGCAGGTTATACGTTTGAGGCAATGAGGAACGTTTTCTTTTAATGTGATGTGGGTGTCACTGGTCAGGTCTGCAGTTTTTAATCGATCCCTAATTGCCCTAAAGGAGAAGGTCGTTGTGGTGAACTGCCTTTTTAAAGCACTGCAGTCTTTGGGCTGGACGGACACACACAGTGCTGTTGGGAAGGGTACTGTAGGATTTTGATAAAGTGACAGTGTAGGAACAATATAGTTTCCAAGTCAGACTGATGTGCGTTACATCAGGAGATAGGTAAAGTTTATCATGTTCTAACAGTGACTTTTAGGAAAAAGTAAGTCAGTGTTAGAAACAAAATAATAGTCTTATTATGAATGGACAAAATCCTTACAAAAATAGGATATGAAGCAAATAACTCCGTTATTCTATATAAAAAGGCATTATAGTCCTGTGATTACTGGTCAATTTTGGTATGGATTTCATTACACTAGAAAATAAGACAATTAAGAAATTCCATTAAATAAGTGATGGAATTTTGAGATATTTCCCCACCAAAGAGAATTTTAATCATTAGGCTTGTATGGAGAAGAGAAATGATCTCGAACCTCCAATTTAATTATAGCTTTGTGACGCACATTTGACATTGTGCCTGAAATCTCCATTCCATCTTTGTGGAGTTGCAGTGCTGTATTCCCTCTTCCAATTGCAGTTTTAGTGAAGGAACTAGATTCATGCAGTTGTGTATACATCTTATTGTACAAATTTCGATCAGTCATTGTTTTTGTGTCAGGAATGTGCAGAGCAAATTCACTGTCGTACTTGATGCAGTCAAGAGGGTTGGAAAACAGAAGGGAGAACTGATGGTCACCAAAGGAGTAGCTGAGGACTCCAGCACTGCCATAGAGCGAGAACGGGGTCTTGATGAACACACACGTTCCTTTCTTCTCCTTCGCTATAGTTGGTGGTGGTGGACTTTGTACAACGCCACATTCAGCATATGTCCTGTAAAATGGGATGTTGCATATGTGCAAAATATCACAGCTCAATTTTAAAGATGATAAAAATTTCATTTTGCAGCTTTGCTTAAAGAAAACAAAAACAACGTGCATTTTTGTAGTGTAATGGGAGGCCAGATAGGCTACATAGAAAGAATCCTTTCCCTTTAGCAGGGAGGAGTCAATAACCAGGGGGCAAAGTTTCAAGGCAAGGAGCTAGAGGATTAAAAGGGGATTTGGGCAAAAAACATTCACCCAGAGAGCGGTGGTTAGCTGGAACTCACTGCCTAAAAAGATGGAAGAGGCAGGAACCCCCACAACATTTAAGAAGTTTTTAGATGAGCACTTGATACCATAGTGTGCAAAGCTTCAGATGTAGGGCTGGAAAATGGGATTAGGATGCACTGATGGTCCATTACTGACATGGACATGATGGGCTGAATAGCCTCCTTGTGCTGTTATAACTTTATGACTCAAGGTTTCCAATCCAAGGCAGCAGTTAGTGAAAGTGTAGCTGCCGAGAAGATAAAAATAGGCAGGATCTCAGCTCTGCTCGTTCTTATTGGCAATTGTGCATGTGTGAATAAAGGGCAAGAGCACAATTAGTTTAATTGTCGTGCTGTTCCATGAGGCCCTTCGGGCAGCACGGTGGCTCAGTGATTAGCACTGCTGCCTCACAGCGCTAGGGACCTGGGTTCAATTCCAGCTTCAGGTGACTGTCTGTGTGGAGTTTGCACATTCTACCTGTGTCTGTGTGGGTTTCCTCCACAGTCCAAAGATGTGCAGGCTTGGTGGATTGGCTATGCTATAGTGCCCAGGGATGTTTAGGTTAGGTGGGTTAGACATGGGAAATGCAGGCATAGGGGAATGGGTCTGGGTGGGATGCTCTTCAGAGGGGTGGTGTGGACTTGTTGGGCCGAATGGCCCGTTTCCACACTGTAGGGGTTCTATGAATAAGTAGGATATATATTCAAATCTCACCTCAGGATTTTAATTAACCTAATACAGGTTAACATAGTAACAGTGTAAAGGACAGAGAAGGAGAAAAGTTTCTGAACTGTGCTCAGAAGAATATTCAGATCGATAATACTTACAGTCATAGAGCAGGGAAATAGACCCTTCTGTCCAACCAGTCCACGCCCAACATAATCCCAAACTAGACTAGTCCCACCTGTCCTGCTCTTGGCCCATATCTCTCCAAACTTTTCCTATTCATGTACTTATCCAAATGTATTTTAAACATTGTAATTGTACCCACATCCACCACTTCCTCAGGAAGTTCATTCCACACGTGAACCACCCTCTGTATAAAATAATTGCCTCATGTCTTTTTAAATCTCTCTCCCCTCACCTCCTAGGCTTGAAATTCCCCACTTCAGGGAAAAGACAACTACCATTAACTGTGTCTATACTTCTCATTACTTCTATAAGCTTCTATCAGGTCGCCTTTCAACTTTTCACTCCAGTGAAAAAAGTCCCAGCCTTTCTTTATAACTCAAACCTTCCATACCTGGCAACATTCTGGTAAATCCCTTCTGAACCCTCTCCAGCTCAGTAATATTCTTCCTATATCTGGGCAACCGGAAGTGGACACAGTATTCCAGAAGAGGCCTCACCAATGTCCTGTACAACCTCAACATGACCTCCCAGCTCCTATACTCAAAGGACTGAGCAATGAAGGCAAGTGTGCCAAATGCCTTTCTAACCACCCTGTCTATATGTGATGCAAACTTCAAAGAATTATATAACTGCACCCTAGGTCCCTCTGTTCTATAACACTACCCAAGGCCCTCCTATTAATTGCATAAGCCCTACCCTAGTTTGTTGTACCAAAATGCAATATCCACGCATTTATCCAAATTGAACTCCATCTGCCATTTCTCAGCCCACTGGCCCATTTGATCAAGATACCTCTGTAATCTTAGAAAACCTTCTTCACTCTCTGCTATGCCACCAATTTTGGTGTATGCAAACTTATTAACTATGCCTTCAATATTCTCATCCAAATCATTTATATAAATAACAAACAAACAAGGACCCAGAACCAATCCCTGTGGAACATCGCTGGTCACAGGCCTCCAGTACAAAAAGCAAATCTCCACCACTACTCTGTCTACTGCTGTTAAACCAATAATGTATCCAATTGGCAAGCTCACCCTGAATACCATGTGACCTAACTTTACCAATTAGTCTACCATCCTGAACCTTGTCCAAAGCTTTACTAAAATCCAAATAGATAGAGTCCAAGTAAACAATGCCCTCAATCTTTTTAGTTACTTCCTCAAAAAAACTCAACCAAGTTTGAAAGACACGATTTCCCTCGTACAAAACCATGCTGACTATCCCTAATCATTCCGTGTCTCTCCAAATGCACATTAAGCCAGTCTTTCTGAATCACTTCCAACAACTTACCCACCACTGAAGTCAGACTTACAGGTCTATAGTTCCCACGCTTCTCACCTTGCAACCCTTCCTAAACGAGGCAAAACATTAGCCACTCTCCAGTCTGCCGGCACCCCACGCATAGTTATAGATGATACAAGTATTAATGCAAAGGGCCTCGCAATTTCCTCCCTAACTTCCCACAAAGTCCTGTTGATCTTCTGTAAATCCAAAAATGCTCATACACACAAATTCACTGACTTTATCCCTTACAATTACACACCTTATAAAGCAGGCATTGCCCAAACTGTGAGAAATGGTACTCACCAAAAACAACCGACCCAGCTGGGTGATCTAGAGTCATATAGCACGGAAACAGGCCTTTCAGTCCGACCAGTCCATACTGAACATAATCCCAAGCTAAACTAGTCGCACCTGCCTGCTCTTGGCCCATATCCCTCCAAACCTTTTCTATTCACGCACTTATCCAAACGTCTTTTAAATGTTGTGATTGTACCCGTTTAAAAGATATTTGGATAAAAACAGGAATAAGAAAGGTTTTGGAGATACACTTTCAAATACCGAATCTCTGAGGAAAGTCAGAAAGTGGGTCACAGGTAAACGTGAGCAACAACTTGCAAAATATATTACCACGTATTATTGATTATACCTTATATTTCAAACAGGGAGGCTGCGCGGGTGTTTGGAGGGGGTGGGAGATCTGGGCAGCCGTAACTTAGTGAATAACACATTCAAATCAGGAAGCAGGCTCAAACTCTGCTTCAGTGCAGGATTAATTTCTGATGAAGGGTCCAGACCCGAAACATCAGCCTTTCTGCTCCTATGATGCTGCTTGGCCTGCTGTGTTCATCCAGCTCTACACCTTGTTGTCATTGTACTCACGCTGCTGCAGTTAGATCAAAATGTTTGCTGCTGTTTGTGATCTCGATTCCCACAAGTATGTTGGAGTCAACCGATTTTATAATCTCTTCAATCGGCGTCGCCATTCTGTTAAAAATATAATACAACATGCAATGTTCAAGGCACGATTGTAAAACAGGAATAACACACATTAGCTACAGCAGTTTGGTGCCAACCTTGCCTGACTTCCTGCGGGGGGGATCTCACTGAGTCCAGGCTGTGGGGTCCACTTTCTTCTGTTCCAACACGCAATGTAACCCAGTTCAAACCCACACCCTTCCTGTGAACTGAAAAACTTCCGATCGTTATTCAGGGAGAGATAATGCCTACTGCTCGTCTATTTATGGTTATTCCTTTTTTCAGAGAGACGCCAGATCCGGCTCCAGCTATTCTCCGTTATTGGAGGATTGCTTGAGTTTGTAATGAAGACGTGTTACGGCTCCTATGCGCCAACAAATCAGAGGCCGGTCTCCTGGGCAGCTGCTCCCTCCCTCTCTCTACCTCCTGCTATCTAGCTACTTAGTTCCTCTTTCAGAATGTATGTGGGAGGTAAGTGCAGAAAGCTGCCTATTCCAAAGCTAACTGTTTCCCACCGAGTTCTTGTATTATTCTGAACCATAGAGCAGCAATTTTTGCAGAATTACACATTAATAATCTGCAGAGATCTGCCCAGAAATTTTGGCTGCAGAAATTTGACATATTCTTTCACAGAGGTAGCTTATTTCCTTCGCCTGCTCTGAACACTCTCATTTTCCAGGACAAATTATATTTGCACTTGTCATTAGGTCTCTTTCAAATTCAACACAAAAGTTTTTGACTTCAGTTTTAAAAAGATCTTGCTTATCCTATACCTGGCTAAAGCTAATAGTTTAATGCAAACTACTCTTCGTTATATCATTGAACTGCGATCATTTGATATCAGTCGAGAATCAGTTCTGAAGAAGGGTCACTGGACCCGAAATGTTAACTCTGATTACTCTCCACATGTGCTTCCAGACCTGCTGAGTTTCTGCAGCAATTTCTGATTTTGTTTCTGATTTCTAACATCCGCAGTTGTCTGTTTTTATATGAATCCATGGAATGTGCAAATATTCTTTGAGCACGTTGATTTTGGTGAGGAATTATGCATATCCACTGCTGCCTCACAGCTCCAGGTACCCGGGTTTGAGTCCAACCTTGGGTGACAATGTGGAGTTTGCACATTCTCCCTGTGTCTGTGTAGGTTTCTTCTGGATGCTCCGGTTTCCTCCCACAGTCCAAAGATATGCAGGTAGGGTGAATTGGCCATGCTAAATTCCCCACAGCATTCGGGGACGTGTAGGATTAGCTGTGGGAAACGCAGGGTTATGGGGATAAGTTAGAGGGATGGATCTGAGTGGGATGCTCTTCGGAGGGTTGGTGTGGACTTGATGGGCCAAATGGCCTGCTTCTGCACTGCAGGGATTGTATGAATTGTGGAATAGGATATTAGTCCAGTTTTGTTACCATGTTGACTCTGTTACAGTAAATACAGGATATTTGCAATCCATCTGGCTTAGGCACCAGCACAACAAGGTGAGATCCAGCGACTGTGACACGAAACAATAACGTCATTGTCCATCATAAATTTAACTTCTTCCTACACTTGATCAAATTTCTCTGTATTGAGACTGTAAGAATTCTTTTTATAGGTAATTCACACTTACATTAAGATCATGAACAGCCAACAACACTCTTATTAGACTATTCACTCAACTCACCCAATGGTTCAATAGCCTTTATAAACAATAGCCTTTATGAGGCAGCATGGTGGGTCAGTGGCTAGCACTGCCGTCTCACAGCACCAGGGACCTGGGTTCAATTCCACCCTTAGGTGACTGCCTGTGTGGACTTTGCACATTCTCCCTGTGTCTGCATGCATTTCTTCTGGGTGCTCCAATTTCCTCCCTCAGTGGCTAGGTGGATTGTCCATACTAAATTGCCCATAATGGAGATGAGGTGGGGTATAGGGATGGGTCTGGGTAGAATGCTCTGAGAGTCAGTGTGGACTTGTTGGACCAAAGGGCCTGTTTCCCCCCTGTAGGGATTCTATGAGATAAACTACTTTGATTGTTTTCTGGAAAATAAAGTATTATCTATCTAACCTTTTATGTCCCTCAGTAATATCAAATCTACTGGAGAATCAACTTTTACATTATGAATTTCTGATTCATTCTCTAATTGATCTGATATTTTTATTTCACTCACACAAATATACTTTTCACCTGACTATTGACCTTGAGATAGTATGTCTTTATCATTTTAACATAACACACTTGTTGATTTTTCTTCCTATTGGGAGTCTGCACTCCATACTTGGCACCATGGAGCTTCTTTTGATTTGACATGGACCATAAACTTTACTTTAATGGTTCCAGAGACAGGTAATAAGTTACACCTTGTCTCGAGCAACAAATTTTCAGACTTTGGCGTTCCCCAACCCCGCACTGCCCGCTTCTATCTCCTTCCCAAAATCCACAAACCTGAATGCCCTGGTCGACCCATTGTCTCCGCCTGCTCCTGCCCCACCGAACTTATCTCCAACTATCTGGACTCCATTTTCTCCCCCTTGGTCCAGGAACTCCCTACCTACGTCCGTGACACCACCCACGCCCTCCACCTCCTCCAGAACTTCCAATTCCCCGGTCCCCAACACCTCATCTTTACCATGGACATTCAGTCCCTATACACCTGCATTCCCCATACAGATGGCCTAAAGGCCGTTCGCTTCTTCCTGTCCCACAGGCCCGACCAGTCCCCCTCCACTGACACCCTCATCCGCTTAGCCGAACTTGTCCTCACCCTCAACAACTCTTTTAATTCCTCCCACTTCATACAGACAAAGAGGGTGGCCATGGGTACCCGCATGGGCCCAAGCTATGCCTTCCTCTGTGTAGGTTATGTGGAACAATCCCTCTTCCGTACCTACACTGGCCCTAAACCCCACCTCTTCCTCCGTTACATTGATGACTGTATCGGCACCGCCTCGTGCTCCCACGAGGAGCTCGAACAGTTCTTCCATTTCACCAACACCTTCCACCCCAACCTTAAGTACACCTGGGCCATCTCTAATACCTCTCTTTCCTTCCTGGACCTCTCTGTCTCCATCTCGGGCAACCACCTAGAAACCAATATCCATTTCAAGCCCACCAACTCCCACAGCTACCTAGAATACACCTCCTCCCACCCACCTTCCTGCAAAAATGCTATCCCCTATTCCCAATTCCTTCGCCTCCGCCGCATCTGCTCCCAGGATGAGGCATTCCACTCCCATACATCTCAGATGTCCTCGTTTTTCAAGGACCGCAACATCCCCCCCTCAGTGGTCGAGAATGCCCTCCACCGTGTCTCCCGCATTTCCCGCAACTCATCCCTCATACCCCGTCCCCGCAATAACAACCAAAAAAGAATCCCTCTCGTCCTCACGTACCACCCCACCAACCTCTGGAACCAACGCATCATCCTCCGACACTTCCGCCATCTGCAATCCGACCCCACCACCAAAGTCAGTTTTCCCTCCCCACCCTTATCTGCTTTCCGGAGGGACCACTCTCTCCGTGACTCCCTTGTCTGCTCCACACTCCCCTCCAACCCACCACACCCGGCATTTTTCCCTGCAACCGCAGGAAGTGCTACACCTGCCCCCATACCTCCTCCCTCACCCCCATCCCAGGCCCCAAGAAGACTTTCCACATCAAGCAGATGTTCACCTGCACATCTGCCAATGTGGTATACTGCATCCGCTGTACCCGTTGTGGCCTCCTCTACATTGGGGAAACCAAGCGGAGGCTTGGGGACTGCTTTGCAGAACACCTACGCTCAGTTCGCAATAAACAACTGCACCTCCCAGTCGCAAACCATTTCGACTCCCCCTCCCATTCCTCAGACGACATGTACATCCTGGGCCTCCTGCAGTGCCACAACGATGCCACCCGAAGGTTGCAGTAACAGCAACTCATATTCCGCTTGGGAACCCTGCAGCCCAATGGTATCAATGTGGATTTCATAAGCTTCAAAATCTCCCCTCCCCCTACCGCATCCCAAAACCAGCCCTGCTCGTCCCCACCTCCCCAACCTGTTCTTCCTCCCACCTATCCCCTCCTCCCACCTCAAGCCGCACCCCCATCTCCTACCTACTAACCTCATCCCGCCCCCTTGACCTGTCCGTCCTCCCTGGACTGACCTATCCCCTCCCTAACTCCCCACCTACACTCACCTTTACTGGCTCCATCCCCGCCTCTTCGACCTGTCTGTTTCCTCTCCACCTATCTTCTCCTCTAATCATCTTCTATCCGCCTCCCCCTCTCTCCCTATTTATTTCAGAACCCCCTTCCCCTCCCCCCATTTCTGATGAAGGGTCTAGGCCCGAAACGTCAGCCTTTCTGCTCCTATGATGCTGCTTGGCCTGCTGTGTTCATCCAGCTCTGCACCTTGTTGTCAAGGGAACAAGCAATATTGGATTTAGTAATGAGTGTTAAGCCAGATTTAAAAAATATCCTAATTGTGCGAGAACATTTATCAAATAACATGATCGTTATTTATTATAATAATCATGGCATAATCAAATTCAGTGCAGTGTAGGAAAGTGAAAGGTATGAATCAGCTTCCAGACTTTTGGATTTGGGTAAGGTTAATTTTAACAAGGTGAGGCAGAGACTGTAAATAGTAAACCAGGAAAACCTGCTAATGGGTAAAACAATTGAAGAATAGTGAGGGAAGTTTAAAGAAATATTTAACACAATCCAAAAGCAGTTTCTACCCCTGAGAGGGAAAAGCTCCACTTTACAGAAAAACAACCATGAGATAAGGGACAGGATAAAACTGGAAGAAAGGGCTTACAAAAGTGCAAAAAAAAAGCACAGATCCTGCTGAATGGGAAAGAAACAAAGACCATCAGAAGACTACAAAGCAGCTTATATGACCTGTGCAAAGGGATTATGAAAGGAACCTTGCTAGGGAGACCAAAATCAATAGGAAGAAATTTTACAGCAACATAAGGGGAAAGCAGGTGGTCGGGAGAAATGTTGGCCTACTAAAGACTAAAACTGGGGATATTGACTGTGGAGAAATGGCACACATGTTGAATAATTATTTTGCCTCAGTATTTACATAGAAAAGAAGGATAGCTTGCCAGAGGTCCTGAAGAAATTAGTAGTGGAGTGGGAACAGAGACTGAATACAATTAATATAAGTTAAACATCAGCAATGAGGAAATTAATGGAATTAAAGAATGAGAAATCCCTGGGACTTCTTGGTTTCCATCCAAGGGGTGGAAGGCACAATGGTTAGCACTGCTACGTCACAGCACCAGGGACTCAGGTTCGATTCCAGCCTTTGGTGACTGTGTGGAATTGCACATTCTCCCTGTATCTGTGTTGGTTTCCTCCCACAGTTCAAAACAGTGCAGGT